AATTAGGAGGGTTATCTTACCACTCGGTGCAATTTTTTTGAATAATGTGTGATCCGCTTAGCTTTGTTTGAAACCATTCTGTGTCATGGCCTTAGCAAATCGATCAAACCAAGCCCTGGGAGACTGTTTTAAGCCATATAAAGATTTATTGAGCTTGCACACAATTTTCTTAGTGACCTTTCCTTCTAATCCAGGGGGGACCTCCATGTATACCTCTTCTTCAAGGTTCCCATTCAGAAAAGCATTCTTTATGTTCAGTTGATGTAATTTCCAGTCCATGCTAACAGCTACTGATAATAATATTATGATGGTATTCAATTTTGCAACCGGTGCAAAAGTCTCTTGGTAGTCGATGCCATAGGACTGAGAAAAACCTTTAGCAACTAACCTTGCCTTGTATCTTTCCACGCTCCCATCCGAATGGTATTTGACTGTGAATATCCACCTGCATCCAACAACTCTCTTCCCTTCTGGAAAATCTGTCAAACTCCATATTTTATTCTTTTGCAACGCTTTTATCTCTTCTTCCACTGTATTTTTCCACTGAGGAGATTGAAATGCTTCTGTCACATTTCTTGGGATTTTCACACTGTTAATGCTGGCAGTGAAGGCCCTGAAATTAGACTGTAATTTCCCATATGCAACATACTTATTTATGGGATAAGCAGTACATTTTCTTACCCCCCTTCCTAATAGCAATAGGAAAATCATCAAGATCAACAGTAGTAGCCTCTTGGGAACCATCATTACCTTCTGTTTCAGCTGCAACAGGATCTGAATTTGGTTCTTGGCAAATGCTAGGCTGACTAATTTCTTCAGCAACATCTTTCCTTCTTCTTGAGTAAACAGTGAGTTGTTTCGGTTGGGGAGCTATGGTTTCAGGGTCAATGTTAGGTGCATTTTTTGTAGTGGTGGAAGGTGTTTTGCACGGACTAGAGTGTTGAGATAAGGAGGAAGGTAATTCTTCAGAGTTATTTAGGTTATTCTTATCATCCTCACTAGTAATTGGGACAGTGCTAGCCGACTTTGGAGAGACAGTAATAGGTAAATGATAGGCTGTAAAGAAGTATCGGTTTGAACAGGCTGAAATTCTTTGTAACTCTCCCCCAAAATTTCTGTTCCTGGAAAATAAGGATGGTTTTCAAAAAATGTAACATCAAAGGAGACATAGGTCTTTTTGTGGAAGGTGAGTAACACTTGTAACCCTTCTGACTTGAAGAATAGCCCAAGAACATACACTTTATGGACCTAGGATCTAATTTCCCTCTGTTGTGGATATGAACAAAGGCTGTACACCCAAACACCCGTAAAGAAAGACTTGAGTTTAAATAGGGATAAAGCTAAAACAGAACCTTAGTAGGAATTTTGAAATCTAAGGTCTTACTTGGCATTCTATTGATGAGGTAAGTGGCTGTAAGAAGAGCTTCCCCCCAAAGATACTTAGGAGCATTAGCAGCAAACATAAGAGACCGAGTAACCTCTAGAAGATGTCTATTTTTCCTTTCTGCTACCCCGTTTTGTTAAGGTGTGTTGACACAAAAAGTAAGGTGAACAATGCCTTTTTCCTTAAAGAAATACCCAAGGGTTTTATTCAAATACTCACTCCCATTGTCACTCCTTAGAATTTTGATTTTTGTGTCAAATTGGGTTTCAACTTTTTGATAAAAACTTTTAAAGAGAGACTCAACCTTAGACTTTTCTCTCATTAAGAATACCCATGTTGTCTTAGAGTAATCATCTATAAAAGACACAAATCACTTATACCCAGAAATACTTTTGACAGGAGAATGGCCCCAAATGTCACTATGGATGATGGAAAAAGGTGGTGTTGGTTCAAATTTGGCTGCAATATATGATTTTCTGGTGTGTTTGGCTATTTGACAAATTTCACAGGAAAACAAAGAAGGATCTTTATTTATAAATAAGTTTGGTAACATTTTGGAAAGATAGAAAAAACTAGGAGGACCTAATCTAGAGTGCCATAACAATTTTATTGGTATTGAGATCAGAAGATAAAACTGGTTTCCTAAGAGCACTGGATAAGGCATGATTTTGAGATGCGTGACCTCCAACGGTGTACAATCCTTTTCCCAGCCTAGCACTTCCAATCACCCTCTTCGAGTCCTGAGCCTGAAAAATACAACCACCAGTTCCAAACACAACATTACAACCATAATCTTGAATTAATTTGCTGACTGACAACAGATTGCATGCAAGTTTAGGAACATAGAGGACATTATGAAGTAGTAGATTTTTGTTTAATGTAACAGAACCACTCCCTTTGACTGTAGTGAGAGAGCCATCTGCTATTTTTACAGAAGTTGGTAAGCTGCTTTCACTATATTCCTCCAAGAGATCAACATTTCCTGTCATATGATCCGATGCACCCGAGTCTATTAACCATTGTACCGAGGAAGTATATGAATGATTACCTTCAATAGCAGTATAAGCCACATTGGTAGGTTTGACTGTCATACTGCTCAAAATCTACTACAGCTCCTCTATCTGTTTCTTACTAAAACTGCTGGAGGAATCATCTTGAGAGGCAATATGGGCCTCTTTTTGAAACATGGATCGTGTGGGCTGCCGATCGGCTGGTTTTCCGTGCAACTTCCAACATTGATCTATCATATGGCCTGGTTTCTTACAATGTTCACATCAGGGGCAATTTTTCCTCTGCTGGTTCCTAGAGGTGGAACTGGTGACAAGTACAGAAGCATCTGTTCGTTGAACTGGTGACAAGTGCAGAAGCATCTGTTCGCTGAACTGGTGGCACCATCAGAGATCATCAGATTTCCTCCCTCCGAATCTTTGAAAAAACTTCTCGGACCAGAGGAAGGGGTTTGGTGGCAAGAATCCTTCCTCTTGCTCCATCGAACTCTCCATTCAGTCCAGATAAAAACTGAAAAACTCTCCTCTGATTTGTCTGCCTGTTGTAGATGTTGTTGTCTTCCTGGCACTTCCATTCATTCTTTTCATATAAGTCGATTTGCTGCCAATACTTGTTGAGAATTCCGAAGTACTGTGCGACAGTAAGGCCTCCTTGTCTAAGATCTTTAATGTGATTCTCAATCCCAAAGAGCTCCGATGTATTGTCAGCACTGGAATAAGTATCTCTGCAGTAGTTTGGTACATCATGAAATTCTCCCCTACTTCAGGAATCATGGAATTTATTAACCATGACATTATCATGGTATTTTCACTCTGCCATGTACTGTACTTTGGGTCTGTCTCTTCTGGAATCGGCTTTGAGTCAGAAAGATAGGCGATTTTCCTTCTTCCTGTGATATATAGCCGTACGGACTGGGACCATGGTAGGTAGTTGTTCCCATTTAGTTTGTAGGAGGTTATCGGTGAAAGAGAGGAATCTGAAATCTGAAAATCAGATTGATAGGGGCTGATCTGGGAAGTGATTTCAGATGCTGAGGGATCCGGATTAGCCATGAAAAAAAATAGAATTAAAGAGGAATTGATTTAAAGAGAAGCGGAAATCGGATTGATCGTTCTAACCTGATACCATGTAGAAAACAGACTGTATAAAACAGAATGTAGAAAACAGACTGATGTAGAAAACAGATTGTATAAAACAGAATGTAGAAAACAAACTGTAGAAAACAAACAAGTCTGTTATTTTTTCTTATTTAATTCAGTAGAGAATATTACATATTTATATACAAATAATGCCTCTAAACTAGGAAACTCTAAGTTAGGAAAGATACTAATCCTAGGAGATGTAATCCCTTGAAACAAGGGATTGAAAAACAAAGAATAATTACAGAATCTCTAAATTTAAGGAATTGAACAGCTCATTTCTATAATTCCTACAACCTTACATAACTTACAAGAGGGTCCTATCAAAGGTTGGTAGGAAAACCTATGTATTTTTCACACACCAGACCAGACATTGTCTATGCAGTTGGAGTTATGAGCCAATTCATGCATAATCCTAAAGACTCACACTTGAGGGTTATTAATCAAATCCTACAATACTTAAAGGGCACACCAGGCAGAGGAATTCTCTTTAAAAAAGGGGAAAATTTAACTCTAGAAGCTTATACTGATGCTGACTATGCAGGGTCTATGGTGGATAGAAGGTCAACCTCAGGGTATTGCACTTTTTTTGGGGGGAATCCTTGTGACTTGGAGGAGCAAAAAAAACAAAACGTGGTGGCTAGATCAAGTGGAAAAATTGAGTTTAGGACAATGACATTGGGATTTGTGAATTATTATGGCTGAGGATAATTCTGGAAGATTTGAGGATCAAGTGGGAGGGTCCAATGAAATTATATTATGATAATAAATCAACCATTAATATAGCGCATAACCCAGTTCAACATGATAGGATAAAGCACATTGAAGTAGACAAACACTTCATAAAGGAAAAACTCGACAGTGGGTTAATTTGTACGCCATATGTGTCTTCTGGAGATCAAATTGTTGATATACTTACCAAGAGGTTACCTAGAAAGTATTTTCAGAAACTGGCATGCAAGCTGAAAATGGAATCCCCGGCTTGGGGGGAGTTTCAAAAAGTAAAATTTTAATTTAGGAATATTATGTAATTAATTAGGATCTTATAAATAGTCTTACAATCCCTAAGTTTAAGGGATTTAATTCTTACCCAGAATATGCTACTTTCCTAGGATTGGAGTTTTCTAAGACAAGCTATTGTTTGTATATATAGCCGTGTACATTTTCTATGAAATAAATAATCAAAGCACTCCATTTTTAACAGTTGTAAATATAGAGAACTCCCTCAATCGGAGTGGTTAAAGTTCTCTGCATATATCATCATTCTGTTTCCTGCTTAACCCTCACTTGGGGTTACAAAAACGGAGGGTTCCATAATTTTATTATGGAGATTTAGTGTAAAAAGAGTATTCTTGGTGCATCTACTTCTATGTCTGATTGAGATTTTAGTTGGCTAGTTGATTATTGGGCAGATCTGATCCCTTGTTGTCTATGAGTTCTTATTGCTAAATATTTGTTTCTCCTCTCAGGTGAAGAGCTTTCAAAGAAGCAGGCTGCTCAAGAAGCTCAGATCAGGAAATTAAGAGCTCATGTATGACAATATGTTCGGTTGTTGTTTGAGCTTTCTAAATTTCTTGTAAATAATCTCTTATTTCTCTTCACCTTCTTACTATTCTTTTTCCTTGCATTTTTGTAACTCTAGATTAGAGAGCTCGAAAAGGAGAAGAAAGGCCTGACGACAAAGCTTTAGGCAAGTGCATGTCTTAGAATTGGAACGTAGTTGGTTGATTACTTCTTCTCCTTTTATATCTAGAATTCAAGATGATATGAGTTGTATCGCAAATCAGTTTCCAGATTCGCAACGCGAACTTGAACTATCGTAATTGCAACGACTGGTTGTATTGCATTTGTTTCTTAAGAATTTTCTCTAAAAAGATAGTATTCGCGCGGACGTGTCGAAGACACGTATTACCACGACCACGACCACGACCACGACCACGACCACGACCACGACCACGACCACGACCACGACCACGACCACGACCACGACCACGACCCGACCCGAGACGGACGGCGGCGGCGGCGGCGGCGCGCGAGAGTCCCCCTTGTTCTCTATCACTCAACAAGGAAGTGAGAAAGTCAATCCTTAAATACCATTCCCAATAGTGTTTCCAATACTATGTGGGATTGAGCATTACCAACACTTGTTTCCAATACAATGTGATTATTCAGGAAACAATTAACAATCATACACCTTAAAACAACTGAATCAGCAACCAATTGCATTAGTATTATACGATTAAATATGTCATAATTAAATGTCAATCTACAATCAATCGCGATTATTGCAATTTTAAGCAAAACATTCAAAAATAATATCACTATTTAAGGCTCAATCCCACATAGTATTGGGAACAAGTGTTGGTAATGCTCAATCCCACATAGTATTGGAAACACTATTGGGAATGGTATTTAAGGCTTGGCTTTCCCACTTCCTTGTTGAGTGATAGAGAACAAGGGGGACTCTCGCGCGCCGTTGCCGCCACCGTCCGTCTCGTCTCGTCTCGGGTTGGGGTCGGGGTCGTGGTCGTGGTCGTGGTCGTGGTCATACGTGTCTTCGACACGTCCGCGTGAATACTATCTTTTTAGAGAAAATTCTTAAGAAACAAATGCAATAGTTCGCATTGCAAATCTGGAAACTGTTGCGAATTATCGATCGCATTGCGATTTAGTTGGTCATTTTGGCAAATCCAAAAAAAGTTGGTTAAAATCGTATATTATAAGGCATTTTTGGTCACTGAGGTTATTTTCTCTTTTTAATACATGTTGGCATAGAACTTCTATTTCATATTCTCTCCACACTTTTGGATACCTGGTTTCATATTTGAGATTTTTAATATGGAAGACCGAACTTCATAGAAAACTAAGGATGGTATTATTCTGTAGATGCTTTCTTCTGTAAAATGGCCATATGTCTTATGCCATTGTTTGCTGCTGTATTGTTTCATTTATCTTCCTATCAAAATATAAAAAAAAAGAAAAGAAACACTGCTAGTCATTTTTTTACTAATTTTCTTCGTTGCTTCATTTTGGTCCAACTGATGTGAATGAATTAAAGAGATTACCCTAGTCCTTCAGACCTGAGATGAAGTTGAAATTCCCCAAGTTCTCTACCTGGGGGGATATTGTACTCTATTTAGTATAGCTGCTCTGGTTTATTTTTGTTTGAATTCTGTTTAATTGCATAGAAAGAATTGTGTCATTATTTCAACTTCTTCATAGTCATGCTCCTTCATATGCTTTCAGGTTGAAGAGATAAAGGTAGAGAGCATAAAAAGGGATAAAACCGCTACAGATAAATTGCTACAAGAAACAATTGAAAACCGCGAAGCAGAACTTGCCGCTCAGAAAGACTTTTATACAAATGCGCTAAATGCTGCGAAGGAGGCTGAAGCACTAGCAGAGGCCCGTTCTGACAATGAAGCTAGAACTGAACTAGAGAGTCAGTTAAGAGAGGCTGGAGAACGTGAAGCACTGCTTGTAGAGACACTTGAAGAGTTAAGACAAACCTTAAGCAGAAAGGAGCAGCAGGTTTTGCGTTGTATTAATTGGGATTCCAGATTTTATCATTCTAATTAATGATAAAAAGCACGATGTTATTTTCATTTTCTAACAATGTAGGCTGTATATCAAGAAGACATGCTTAGCAGGGACATCGAAGATCTTCAAAAACGTTATCAGGTGCACTGAGTTTGTACTGACCTATGTAGATATTACATCTTTCCTTGGTACTTTTACTTTCAGGAATCTGTTTCTAGTAGTTCACAGCCCAAATTTTGCTTTCTAGGCAACCAAATGTCGGTGTGAGGAGTTGTGATACATGCATCGCAAGACTCACATTAAAGGAAGAAGTAATAACTCTTCCAAATGATCCACTCGTCCAAGCTTTGGAAAAGAAGATCAGAACAGAAACAGACTTTCGATGACTTTTTTAATGGGATCTTGATCTTATTTGGTCAATATGTCTTCTGGATATACAATCGTCTGTCTCTTAGCTTTCCAACGGTTCTTGAATCGCGTCAATCTGATATCGGGAACTCAAGATACGTTCATTTTAGTGAATACAACACATGTAGAAATTCCTATACGAGATTAATAGGTGATTTTTGTAAATATTGCGAATTTTCATTATTTATATTGATTATTTGTAATATAATTTAATATAGAATGATGCATTATCTTTTAGGATTAGATTTATTATTTTATTAGGAAAAACATTAATTTTAGTTATTTATTTTTTAATTAGTTAAATTAAAGTTAAGAGTTTAGTTATTATTTTATTCATTGGTTATTTTGGATCTTTAGAACTCAGCCCCTATATAAAGGAGGTTTCATTCAACTTTGTAAGGCATATTTCTTTGATTAATAATATAACGAGAGTTCGCTTTTGCAAGTGCTGATTATCTTGAGCATTCGAAGCTTCTCCTGGAGTTCTTTCAAGTTCTTGTGAGGGAGACTAATCTTCACACTCCAATTTGTCTTTACATCGCGACTAGGAGGGTTGGTTAGAGTTATATTATCGAGTTTGCATTTTCATTGCGATCAGGATGGTTCGATAGGACACTTAGAGTCATATTATCGAGTTTGTCCTTTCATTGCGACTATGAGGGTTCAATAGGACAATTATTCATCTATTTTACACAAATCCATAATCACCATCATCATCTTTACCGTTCACCTTTATAAGGGAGTCATCTTCTACTATTCATCCCCCTTTGTTCTTCATCGGGTTTAGAGCTTTCTAGGTTTGATTCTTCAACAAGAGCAACGTTCATTAATCCGCCACCGCTTCGCTATCAATTGGTATCAGATTTGGGTCGATTCTTGGAAAGAAGCAAGCAATCTTGCTTGTTCTTGCACACAAAACCGTCAAGGTATCCCAACGGAACTAGTTCGCAAAAGATTCATCGTTTCAAGTCACAAAAATTTAAAAAATTGCAAACGAAGGAATTTAGGGCTGGTTAGAGCCATATTATCGAGTTTGCATTTTCATTGCGACTAGGATGGTTCGATAGGACACTTAGAGTCATATTATCGAGTTTGTCTTTTCATTGCGACTAGGAGGGTTTGATAGGACAATTATCCATCTATTTTACACAAATCCATAATCACCATCACCATCTTTACCGTTCACCTTCATAAGGGAACCACCTTTTACTATTCATCCCCTTTGTTCTTCATCGAGTCTAGAGCTTTCTAAGTTTGATTCTTCAACAAGAGCAACGTTCATTAATCCGCCACCGCTTCGCCATGAATTGATATCAGATTTGGGTCGATTCTTGGAAATAAGCAAGCAATCTTGCTTGTTCTTGCACACAAAACCGCCAAGGTATCCCAACGGAGCTAGTTCGCAAAAGATTCATCGTTTCAAGTCACAAAAATTTAAAAATTTACAAACGAATGAATTTAGGGCTTATTTTCTCCATATCACATATTCATCCTAATAGTAATCTCTAGTCCAAAATTTACTCTAATCGGAATTCATTAGAGCCTTCAAATACATCATTCAAGTTTCATCTGTAAATTCGGTCTAGAATCTTGTCAAATTTCTTGAAAATTCTAGAGGAGGAATTTCGTGGTGAAAATTTCCATATTGAAACTTCATGTATTAAAGATCATTCACAAAAAAACAGAATTTTTGGAGATCAAGAACACCTTCGAATTAAGCGATCACAAAAAATAGATTATTTGAGGACTCATCATTCAACAAAGTCTACTGGATACTACTGAAGGTATTTGGTTCTGAAATTTTATAGGTGGTTTCTAGACACATCGAAAGACATTTAAGAATTTTTCCAAAATTTTTAGACACCGATAACCCCCTCAAAAACGTTGCTCAAGTTAACCCAGCGTTTTCTAGGTTTCTGATTTGGTTCTTTTTTTTCTTTGACTCTTAGGGGGTGTTTGGTTCAAGGATTGTGGGATTCCCATGGGATGGGAATCCCACATTCCCATGTTTGGTTGGCCGGAAATCTCATTCCCGGTAATGTTTTATTACCAATAGTAAATTTTTTGGAGTATATTACCGGGAATGTCATTACCTCTCTTCCCTTAGGTATTGTAACATTACCGGCGTTTTGGACTAAAATGCCCTTAAATTATTATTTTTTTCAAAAATATCATTCTTCTGTCATTGAATAATAAAAATTCTACGAAGGTTAAATTACAAATTTATCCTTAAATTATTTTAGATTTACAAAAAAAAGTCTATAATTAAAATTTTATATGAAGTTCAAGGGTTAAATTTTTTTTACCCTTTCATTAAACCTTTTTTATATTTTTAATTTTGTTAAAAAATTATATAAATATTATGAATTTAATTTCTTAAAGAAAATATATAAATATTTTCCAATTTGTTAAAAAAACAAATATATAATAAGGACAATTTGGTCAAATATACATTCCAATAATCTTTTATTCCTTTAACCAAACACGATAATCTTACATTCCTGTTAAACCAACCAAACACAAAATACAACATTCCCAGTAATCCTATTCCCTGGTAATCTTTTATTCCCACTGGTAATCTTACATTCCGTGAACCAAACGTACCCTAGTGCTTTAAGTTCTTTTTTTCCTTTTTTATTGTTCGTTTGCATTATCTAACACATTATCTTTCTTGTGTTAGTAGAGCTAAAGAGTTTGCATACTTCTTCCTTCTTAGCATTATCGTTCTCTTTGAGTCTAAACCTTATTTGGCCTCTTAAAGTTTTTAGGTTTTCTTATCGCCTTTGCTAGTAATCAAACTCTATTACGAACTGTAGAAGACTACTTGGTAAAGTGAGTTTTAAAGAGTACAAGATTGGCTTACTTGCCTCTCGCTGCATTACTTTTTTTGAGTGACTTGTGAGGTTTATTGCTTTGTTGAATATTTTTCTTTTATTTTTCTTTTACTTTAAAATTTTCTTTTGAGTGTTATGATTTTAGGATGGACGACAATAACAACAAGAAACTTACGGTTATCTTATCCGCACTTGCATGACTCATGACTCAAATTGAAAGATTTGATGAACTTAACAATACCGTGAGAGAACGATAAGAACCACAATTGGATCTACCAAACCATAATCCAAGACCAAACAATGTTGAACTTTTGGGGCTCAAACGAGCACAACCACGTTTCCAAGCACCCAAACTCTTTGAAAAACCAAAGTTCACGATCCCGTCTTTCAAAGGAGACAATGATCCGAACAAGTACATCGACTGGGAATGAAAAGTTGATCTCATGTTCACATACCATGACTGCTCTCAAGCTGAACAAATTCCCTTCATCACCATGAAATTTGAAGGATATGCTTACACTTGGTGGATGCAAACAAGGAAAAAGATCGAGAACTTCCAAATTCAAGCAATCACTTCTTGGACTGACCTCAAATAAACCATGAGGAAGCGATTCATACTGACACATTATACACGAGAAGTTAAACTACGACTAAACCGATTTCGACAAGGTAGAAGTTCAGTTGAAGACTACTACAAGGAGATGCAATCCTTACTCAATAGGGCTAACATAACCGAAGAAGAAAAGGACATCGTATCAATATTCTTCATCGGCTTGAACTCAAACATCACTGATCTTCTTGACCTCTATGGGGACGAAAACCTTGAAGATACAGTAAAGAAGGAAATAAAAATTGAAGAACAAATCCAAAGGAGCTTCCAATTCAGAGAACATTACCAAGGTACTTCATCCTCTTACTAAGGTAATCCTTAAAATCCTTCCTCATCTTCTACTCAATCTTCTAAAAAAAAAGCCGACAGATGACAAACCATACAAGGAGAAACAACGACCATCAAAGAATGACACACTTCCAGCCCCTAAAGATCAAATGAGAATTTGTGAGGAGGTAGGGAAAGTAAAAAAAAGAAAAAGCTGAGAAAGAGACAAAAGCAAAAGAATAATGACCCATGGGAGGTGAGTGAACCCAATTGTGAGAAGAAAAGAGTGACTCAAAATCTATGTGTAAGCACAAAATAATTGAGAGAGAACCTTCTTTACAAACATCCTTGCATCTTTATTCGCTTTAGGGAATAAATTGTTTCAATTTCTAACATTAACAAGGATTTGCCTAGTGTGTTTTCATCTTTGTTACATGATTTTCGAGAAGTGTTAGGCGATCCACTTGGCGGATTACCACTGGAAAGAGGAAACCAACACCAAACCAATCTAATTAAAGGATTTCAAGACTATAAGAAAGCAGTTCCTACAAAGAAGAAACCTCGACTAAAATGCATAAAGACACATCACATTGATCCTGGTAAATGTTTCACAAGTTTTCCTTTCAACACATCTAATTCTCTTTCTCTTGGATTTTCAAATTCGAGGACGAATCCTTTTGAGGAATGGGGGAATGACACATGGACCGAAGTCCATAATACATGCTTCTTTGTACTAATATTTCTACTAGAACCTTTTAGAAGAACAAAGTCTCGAAGATTCAAAGCATATCTATTCGGTAAGCACAATGTGAATGAGTCATTAAATGATTCAAATGTTGCTCCCTTTAATGTTTTAGATTCGAGGTCAAATCTTTTTGAAGAAGGGAGGATAATACATGCATCGCAAGGCTCACATCAAAGGAAGAAGTAATAACTCTTCCAAATGATCCACTCGTTCAAGCCTTGGAAAAGAAGATCAGAACAACAACATACTTTCAATGAATTTTTGAATGGGATCCTGATTTTATTTGGTCAACATGTCTTCTGGATATACAACCGTCTGTCTCTTAGCTTTCCAACGGTTCTTGAATCGCGTCAATCCGATATCGGAACTCAATATACATTCATTTTAGTGAAGACATCACATGCAAAAATTCTTATACGAGATTAATACGTGATTTTTATAAATATTACGAATTTTTAATATTTATATTGATTATTTGTAATATAATTTAATATAGGATGATGCATTATATTTTAGGATTAGATTTATTATTTTATTATGAATTAAGGTTGAGTTAAAACATTAATTTTAATTATTATTATTTTATTAGGAATTAGAGTTAAGACATGTTTAGTTTGTTATTATTTTATTCATTAATTATTTAGGACCTTTAGAACTCAGCCCCTATATAAAGGAGGCTTCATTCAACTTTGTAAGGCATATTTCTTTGATTAATAATACAACGAGAGTTAGTTTTTGCAAGTGTTGAATGACTTGTGCATTCGAAGCTTCTTCTCCTGGAGTTCTTTCAAGTTCTTGTGATGGAGATTAATCTCCACACTCTAATTTGACTTTTCATCGCGACTAGGAGGGTTGGGTAGAGCCATATTATTAGGGATGGCAATGGGTCGAGTCGGGTCGGGTTTTTGGGCCACCCGACCCGACCCGAGAAGAAAGGGTTTTTCACCCGTGACCCGACCCGACCCGACGAAATTAAGGTTTCACCCGACCCGACCCGAATATATGACTTAGAAACCCGACCCGACCCGACCCGAAATAATAATAAAAAAAATTTTATTCAATGAAAACAGTGACTTAATTGAAAAAAATTATATATGGAGGGACATTATTGTAATTATCCCTAAATATATAGGATAAAATTATATATATTTTTTCGGGTCGGGTCGGATTTTTTTCACCCTAAACCCGACCCGACCCGAACCCGAATTTTTTAAAAAAAAATCCGACCCGATCGGGTCGGGTCGGGTCGAAACCCGTCGGATTCGGGTTGAGTTGCCATCCCTACATATTATCGAGTTTTCCTTTTCGTTGCGACTAGGAGGGTTTGATAGGACACTTAGAGTCATATTATCGAGTTTGTCTTTTCATCGCGACTAGGAGAGTTCGATAGGACACTTATCCATCTATTTTCCACAAATCCATAATCACCATCATCATCTTTACCGTTCACCTTCATGAGGGAGCCACCTTCCACTATTCATCCCCTTTGTTCTTCATCGGGTCTAGAGCTTTCTAGGTTTGATTCTTCAACAAGAGCAACGTTCATTAATTCGCCACCGCTTCCCTATCAAGTTGATTGCACAAGTGCCTGATTGTACGAGACCTCTTTTAAGGAAAATTGAAGCCATGTAGGTGAAATTTATGGTTCTAATGTATTCTTAACAGTCTTCAAGGACTATTTCTCTTCATATATTTGTGTTGATATTGATTATTGTTCTATTCTTAATAGGAAACAACTGCCAGAAGAGCAGAAGCTTGTGCTGCTGTGGAGAGATCTCTAAACTCTCGTCTGCAGGTGTGTACATTGGGTGTACAATGTTATAGCATGTTATGACATCTCATGTGAAGCTTAAAGAGAGTCTTACTCTGATAATGAACTATTCTATTGAATTTACAGGAAGCAGAGGCAAAAACTGCAGCTGCAGAAGAGAGAGAGCGATCTGTGAATGAACGCTTATCACAAATTAATGTTCTTGAAGCTCAGGTTCATCTTTAACAACATTCTACCAATGTTTCTATGCAGAATACAATCATTTAAACTGATATCATAAGTTGTTTATTATCGAATTTTCTATTAATTGGCGTGATGATTGTGTATTAATCGGAAATGGTTCTAAATATACTAACATTAGCAACATCCACCATGGTTCCGGGTCATGGAATAGGATGCGCTTCATATTTCTTTTGCAATGGTCTTTCACTTTTTTCATGAAATTAAACCCATACTATTTTTAATTCTGAATTTTAAAGCATCGGATGTTTGGAAAATAAGGGGAAATTAAGGAAGTAGAAATCGTTCATACAATAAACATTTTTTAACAGAACAATTAATGGAGTTGGAATAAAGTTATAATAGGCACATATATAAGTATTAATAAATTCTAAGCTTAATGATTAAACGGCTGTTATTATCTTCAACGTTTTAGGTTAGAATCTTACATTAATAACTTAAATATTGTAACATGCTTAGTTCAATGACTAGGTGCTTGGTCTCTCTCCAAGAGGGCCGAGTACTGATTTCTCTCCGTTGCATCTTCGGCATTTGTTTGATTTTATTCTCTTAAAGTGGTGAAATATCCCATTACCTTATTGATCGGAAAATTATAAAAAAAAAAACTATTACTTGGTTGCCCTGACGTTGAAAGAGAATAACATGAAAATAAAAAAAAAATTAATTTTTTAACGATGAGTGATTAAAATAGAAACCAAACGTAAGTTTAGTTTCTAAAAAATTAGCTGAATAATTAAAATAAAAACAAGATAATATGTGGGTGGCTAAATGGATAAATTTAACTTATATGATTCGTGCGGGTTAAGTGAATTTATCCTAATAATAAGTGAATAACCGATTTTCTTCCCGCAGCAAGAATCAGGGTTTTAAGGTCTTTAACTGAAATTCCTTAAATTGTAAATGGCTTCGATTGCCTCAGCAAGCCAAGCACACCAGAGACTCTCTCACACTCATTATATGAAGTAAAATCAACTTTATATTTTTGACTGCACTTTCTTAGCCATGTGTGAGCATTATGTAAAGAATAAAATACCAAGACGGTTAATGTTGTGGGACTCTCTTCCTCGTAATGCAATGGGAAAGGTGAATTTCTTCTTGACTTTTGTTGCAAGCAAAATGAAGTGTTCTATTCTCTGATATGATCCCAATCGGTTATTGAGTGTACAGGATTACAGATATTTATGAATAAAGAAAATCCTTGTTTTCTCTTGGCAGCTTTTCCAAGGGTAAATTTTGGGTACAATTCACTTGAGTAACCCAGATTTGGACTGCACTGCATATTACTTTTTTTATTTATATATATAGATAAATCAGTGCATATTACATTTGCTTTTGAGCTTTGGTTCATTTTTCCAAGGAATGACTAGGAAAAATAATCTCTGGGTGTATATCTTGAAGTGCACAAGTGAAATGTAAAAATAAAACAGTCACCATTTTCTATCTCTTGAAGTGCACAAGTGAAATGTAAAAATAAATCACCGATACTCAAATCTCCCTTCAATTGTCTCCTCTCTCCCGGTCATCCCTTCGTCTTCTGTATGTCTAAAATTTTCTTCATCAACATTTATTGTGCCCTCCTATTGTTCAACAGTAAATAAACTACTCCATGACATGCACCCTCCTATTGTTCAACAGTAAATGAACCGTGGACAAGTTGAAGGTTCAAGGGCTAGTGATGATGAATCAAGTAACCAGCTAGATCTCGAAAATGAGGATATTGGTCAGCTCGAATCAAGGGATAGTCAGTATGGTGATGAAGCAGAAAATGGTGCCCCAGTTGCTGTCAACGGTCATCACATGCTCACCCGTAGCAAAAGATGTATTTTCAAGCCTAAAATATATGCTGCCATGCATGATGATGACGATGAAGAACATGACTTGGTATATGAGGCTCTCTAATCTCCAAAGTGGAAAGCAGCAGTTTTGGTGGAATATGAGGCCCTACTGAAGAATAACACGTGGTCGCTAGTGACTTTGCCTGAAGGAAGAACAATCGTGGGCTGTAAATGGCTATTTTCGTGTCAAAAGAAATGCAGATGGCACAATACAAAGGCGCAAGGCCAGGCTTGTAGCAAAGGGATTCTCGCAAACACCCGAAAAAGGACTTCCAGGACATGTTCAGTCCAGTCAGGGTTTCACATCATAGTCCGAAAATGTGATTTCGCCCGCGAAATAGCGGTTTCGCCGCCGTCCGAGTCATCTGCTACACCCGCAATAACGTCCGCGACGGCCACAATCACAGTAAACCCGAAATAACCGAAAACGCGACCATGACCGCGATTTAAAACCTTGAGTCTAGTGGTTAAACCTTCCATGGTGAGTGTTGTCTTGACATTGGCAGCTCGAAATTAGTGGATATTGTGGCAAATTAATGTGAATAACACCTTTATAAAGGGTGATTTACAAGAAGATGTGTTTGTGGAACAACCGTAAGGGTTTGAGAAGAAAGCATCTGATGGTACTATGTTGGTTTGCAAATTACAAAAAGCCCTCTATGGGATAAGGCAAGGTAATCTAAGTTGAGGGAGTATCTGTTGAGTGTTGATTTTCAGAGTTCCAGGGCTGATAGTTCATTGTTCATGAAGCATGGAGAGAATGTGAGCACATATGTCCATGCTTATGTAGATGATATTATTGTTACAAGAGGCTTGAATGATGAAATCGAGAATGCAGTAAGGCTTCTTGGTGAGGATTTTTCACTTAAGAACCTAGGGACACTTAACTTCTTTCTCGGTGTTGAAGTAAAATAAGTATGAGGTACCATATTTCTTAGTCAAAAGTAGTATATAATGGACCTGTTGGTGAAAGCTCGGATGAATAATGATACACCTACGTCAACGCCTATAGTTGCATCAGTTAAACTCACCAAAGACGATGCAGGTAGTCCGTGGGTTGATGCAAAGGAGTATCGTAGATTGGTAGGGTCGTTGTTATATGCGTGTCACACGAGGCCAGACATTTGCCTACAGTGTGAATAAATTGGCACAGTGCATGCATGCGCCCTGTGAGCAACATTTAGTGGCTGTAAAAAAGGGGCTAAGATATCTTAATGGCACCCTTGACTATGGATTGACGTTTTTCTCAAACTTAGAGGCTCTTCGATTCACTGCTTTTGCAGATGCAGATTGGGGAGGAAGAATAGATGACAGGCGGTCGATTTTAGGAAACTGCATTTACTTGGGTGGTAACCTGGTCATGTGGAGTTTGAGGAAGCAGAAAACGGTGTCACGGTCTACCACCGAGGCTGACTACCGTCGCCCAGCAGAAGTAACGTCTGATGCGTCTTGGCTAGAGACGTTACTAGGAGACATGAGAGTGAAGATGCAAGTTGTGCCTGTAGTGTGGAGTTATAATACCGGTGCAATAGCGATAGTGCCAACCCTGTGTATCATTCCAAAACCAAGCATGTGGAGCTTGATGCCTACTTTGTGAGAGAAAAGGTGACAGTAGGCAAACTTAAGGTGAATTTTGTTCCCTTTGAGCACCAGGTTGCAGATGACTTGACCAAGGCGTTGACAAAGGAGTATGGGTATACCCGCAGGTAGTTCTCGGGTAGCCTGCTTATTTTAATTATTTTTTATAATTTATTTTTATGTTTTACGAAAGACAGTTCACGTTTATTAGCTCAATTCACGTTTTATTTGTATTTTAGCCATAGCTCAATTTACGTTTTATGTGCACTGAAATCTGAAGTTCAATTCACGATTTAATTTGATGATATCCAATTTTAAAGTTCGAATGTATTAATTATACCTATGGTAACGTAATATGATAACAGAAACAAAAAGGTTTCTATCTTTTTATATACGTATTTACCATTTATAATTAATATCATCAATATATATATATAAATAAGCCATAAAACGTTTATTATACTCCAATAATTAATCATAAGATAAACTATATACATATACGTTAAAAAAACAGAAAAAAAAAACAAATTAAAGTATTAAACCATGTATAAATATAATAATTAAATTAAAAAGATAAAGTAACATAATATACAAATAATATATAAAACTTGAGGCAGTGATAAAAAAACATACATAAAATTAGAGTGTAAAATTAAAATAATAAACTATATTTGAAGATTATATTGCATTAATTCAAAAGTGGGTGGAACTCTTACACGATTAGCATATTAAAACTTGTCATGGTTGCCTTGAATTCTTAAAATACGTTGTTTTTTGTGATTTATATTATATATACGCCGTTATAAAATTTTAGGAACCATAGCCTCATTTTTTTTTGTTTTCCTTCTCTGTCGTTTCTCTTTATCTCCCCAACTTCTCTTTTTTTTTCCACATAAACAGTAAACGGGTAAGCCCGTTTAGCCCGCGGGTTGAATGGACGGACTGCGGGCCTTAAAATTCAAGACCGTTTATAAGTGTGAGCTTTTTAAATTATTCCGTTTAAACCAGCACCGCCAAAAACTCACGGGCTAAACGGGCGGGTAACCTGTATACCAATCTCTAGTTATGAGTCAGTTACAACTTGTATCCAAGGATAAATAGATACCATTGGTTTAAGGGTTTACACATTGAATAAATAAAAGCTTTCTTTCTGTAAATACCTTCACATAAGTTTTCTTGATAGGTGAAAGGGTCTTTTGTTTGTAATCATCGGTTGTCAATTAATAATTTTTTTTTTATTTTTTTTATAAAATATAAATACGATATGCGTCACATTTTGAGTGGCTAATAAATATTTTAACGATTGTGATAAATTAAATAAATAAATAATAATAACATTGAGAATATTAAATACATAACTTGACAAATGTCGATATAGAGGTACTTTAAACCATCATTGCGATGCTTGAGAGTTCATTTCTCTTTTTAGGTAATAACACTCAATTAAGATTTTGTTAGAGTATCATATTGATGACACATATGTGTTATCTTCTTTGAAAGTTATTATTGTTAAGGTTTAATATAAAAATATGTGTTAAATTATAGCTCAAATTAATTTTTTGTGTTTAAAGA